GGAGGGGGGAGGGGGAGGGGGAGGGGGGGGGGGTTCGAGAATCTTAGGGGAGGCACGCAAGCAAGAAATTTAACAACAAATGTTCCGGAAAGTTTAGATATCAAATCGTCTTCCGACAGATATTTTCCAAACATTGTCTTTGGGTGCCCCTGATTGTAGACCTTTCCTGCCGCGCAAGCACGAAAGGTTACCCTTAGTTATTGGCCCTCATGTCACACCAGCCAGTTGTCTGCCAGTATTGGGTCTGCTAGATCGCTGTATTTAGAGACCATCATCAGTTCTTCAGCTGGGTTCTTTTTTCGAGGATCCATCGTACACTCCCTGCTTAATTTTTCAAATATTGTAATCAACGTTTTTTACACATTTATTCCAGTTAATCAGTTTTAATAAACAGAATTGGTGATTTTCGTCTGAGAGGTTTTGTAGAATGTGTTCATAATATCTTAATTTTACCGAGTAGTCTATGTGAAGACTTCTATACCACGTAAATCGGAAATGTCCACCCGCAGGCTATTCTTCCACTACACTTACCGGGATTCCCGCAAAAGCACAAAAATTAGGTTCAGTTCTAAGGATAAAAGGGTAACGAAACTCGGCAACAAATTTAGGTAATCGAACTGAGCAAAGGTATTATGAACATTCTCGCTATTTCACTGTCACCTCGATCTACAAAAGCTTCAATAGTACATCTTCATGCTCTGTCGCGATGTCCTCATCTGGGCAGACTGAGTCACTGTTCAGACCAAAAATTTGTTCTTAAAATGAGTAAATTGGTTTTAGTTTTACCCATAGTATTATTTAATTTCCGACTCTGTGGTGTCAAGATCGAGGATCACATTTAAATGCAGAACTCCAACAATGTACATACATACATAACCTTTATTAATGTGTCTAATCCTTCTAGTGCCTGTTGGCACTAATTGGCACTAAATGGCACTAAATGTAATCAATCAACAGAGAGGAGAAGTCGTTACGTCACGTTGCCATGGTAGCAAGTTTTCTGGATCTGAACAAACAGAAAACGTCACTCAAAAAGTGAATTCGCACTGTTTCAAACTTCATCGTTCTAGTTCAGTTTCACTCAATTTGTCAAATGATGGCGAAATTTTCTGGGGTTCAATCCGAAAGGACTGTATGTAAGTTTAGAAAAATGAAAAGAAAATTTAATTGTTGTCTTGTGTTCACGTAATCCATAAAGAGGGCGCATGAGATTAGGAAATTTCATGTCGCATTCGCGCAGCGATGGCTGAGAAATGTACAGAAAAGCGTAATGCACGTGTAAAGTTGTTGTTTTCCTCATATAAACCTCTTGCTTTTTTGCCGTTCTAGTTGCCGTCGCCGTCGTCTTGCTTAAGCTCCCTATTGTTGTGATCCAGAAATTTTGCTACCATGGTAACGTGACGTCACACTTCTCCTCTCTATAAAAAAACGGTAAACTGTTAAGGACCGGTACAGAGTCATCAAAGGTTGCTAAAACCTTTTTTCACAAAACAAACTGCGAGGAACTCCCCATCATGGCCTATGTCATGGCGTTTTCATGGACCGATTTATTTTTAGATACATCGTAGAGCACTTTCCCCCGCGAAATGGAGGCTCCGCTCCTTTTAGCCCTTAAAGCTCCAATATCCACATACAAATTCTCCAAACTGATCTCTATACATTTCCTTAAGGAGTAAGTTGAGAGAATTTGGTAGAAGATCAAAGCATTTTCTCTTAGGTGATCATTTTATTAACTCTCATAACTATTTCTCTTGATAACATATGGATATTGTTAGGAGAAAATTGATCTTGGTCACTATCGGGACTTAAAGTGTTAAGAACACAGTAGGACTATCAGAAGCAAATGACACGACAAAGCCAGGAAAACTAAACGTAATTAAAAGGTCAAAAATGCCTTTGTTAGGGTCCTCGGTTTAACCGACTGTTTTGTGGGACATAAAAGATACTACTTAAATTTGCGCGAAAATCGTTCTAAAAATAAACTGGTCGGTGAAAACCAATTGACAGGAGTACATGGAAGTTACTCGCTCCCACGGGTAATGGTCTCCTGTGCAAACAAGATATATTTTAACCTTCAAATACAATTTTGCCTGGCATTTCTCCGATGAAACGTTTAACTATTTACTATTAACACAACCATGACATTAAGCATATAAAATGATTATATAAGCTATTTTGGTGAAAAGACACAAATAAATTAGATGGATACATAATTGGCGCAAGAAAGTATCATTGTTACAAAACGTTTGTTTCACACGAAATACAGGAACTGAGCGACAGTTTTTCAGTTAGTATTTGAAATTCGTACTATACATCTCTTTTGATCTTTACTATCTTGAAACAAGTGTTTATTTATTTTACTCCAACGGCTTTCCTTGATTGTTCGTTTTTATTACTGTAAGCGAGGAGCGTTGGTTTTCTATTCAGGAACCACAGCTTCATCAGGGTCCAGACACTTTGTTCTAAAGATGTTTCACTTTGCCATGCCTATTTGAAAAATAAAATACTAAGTATAAAAAACGTACGTCAAAATACTTTTGCGCAAGCTAGAGGCTGGAAGATAATTAACAATTATTCTTCGAGCCCGAATGGGCTCTGAGTCAATAGCCCATGAGGCCAAAGGACGAATGGGCTATTGACTTAGAGGCCATGAGGGCGAGAGGAATAATTGTTTTAGTAAAATCCAACTAGTTGGTTAAAAATATCGAAAATGAAAAGCTTTTTAGCTAATATAACAAGCAAACCTTGAAAGATAAGATAAGATAAAGTGACGTAAACTCTCACCTCAAATGTGTTCTTTTCGATGATCAAGGATGACAAGAAAAGGGGAGAAAATAACAACGTCAGTAACTATTTTGTTGCAACGCTAATTTCTTTTTTCTTTTCATTTTTTAGATTTATTTTAAATGAGGTTTAGTTTTAACAGAATCAGCAGTGTCTTGATGCTAATTTAAAGAATACGTTACTGTGTAAAAAGACAAAAAATAAACACCGTGGCCTTTGATGAACTCGACATTTATAAAGGAAAGTTAGGGTCTGAAAATACCGTCGACGACTTCGCTTTCACAAACAGAGCATCAGTTAAATAATAGATACCTTATTTGATGGTCTAATGACAAATAATATGCAAATATCTCGCTCCAGTCCTTACCGGGACAGCCTGACTGATGAGGGCCTGCTGCGGGTGTTTTGCCATCAGGACAGCAGCCGTAAGTTGTTGCTGCACATGTGTTGGCTACAGCATAAGCCAGTGTAGTGGGTGCTGCAAAAATAAAATAATTAAACGAAGATCCAAAAGCAGTCTCTCCTTACTTATCTTTTGATTGTTGTCTTAAGAAAGCTAGAAGGGTTAAATAGTGATGTCAATAAATTTTAAACATTAGATTTATACGGATGCGATTTGGGTGCGCTCTTCAGACCTGTTTCGATTTGTTCGCTTGGAATTTCTATTTACCCATTCTCTAATAAAGACTGGTTACAAAAACAGATCTTCAGTGTGGCGTGAAGAACGAGAGTTACTATGCTAGCAATCCGTGCTTCTTGCTCTATAACATGTCAACTCTTACTTTCACAGTTTATTCCAGCCCAATGTATTGGGCAGTGACATTCATAAGAGGAACCTTTGGCGATACAAACTCCTCCATTTACGCATGGGCTCGGATGACAATGATCCTCATCTAAAACGAAATAAAGTCATGAAATATTTAATGCGTATATAAGACATTCAGATAATCTCCCATATGATGCCTTCCCTGGGGCACTCCCTTAAAAAGAGACAACGATGTTCATCGAAAATTAGAATTAAACCTTAAAAGGAGTCCAATATGGCATGTGGGTGTGGTTCAGACTTATTTGTCCCCTATAAAAGACCGTACTCTTTCACAGCATGACGGCGTTTGTTTTTTATATAGAAATTTCTCGCCGCACAAACCTATACCAAGAGATGCGTTCAGTTTATGCCGGTGGAAATATGGGATTTCCATCTGGTGATTCTTAGGTGAGACCAAAATCTACACTTTCTAACCTAAGGGAAACAACGAGTATTCACTTCACATTTATCTGGGAGGACCGCCTCCCCCAGGAATGCCTGGCTCATGATCATGCACAGCGTGTTTGGTTCCAAAAATACTGTGGTCAATCAGAGCAGAGAAGGATTTCCAGCAACGATGGATGAGAAGAAACGAATTGTCTTGAGAATTAGACTGGTTGCAGAACCTTGGAAATGAGACCCGTCCCAAGCAAGGAGCCTGTATCTAGAAAATCCACTTTCATTGGTCATGTTAAAGTTACACTTGGGACTGCGTCCGAGTGTTGTTTTGAACTGCACTATGGACCTATTTTCGGAAACGACTTTTTACCTAGTCTCCTACACGACCTTGTTATAGCAACAACAACAACAACAACAACAACAACAACAATCTTTATTGTGCTCTTGATACAAAAGAAGAAGTTACGTAATTTAAAGGAAATTAACTAATTGCGAAAAAAAAGAGCATAGCCACTCAGAAATAGCAGAAGCTAATCGGGCTGAGAGGCTGGGCCAAGCGGAAAAAAAAAAACAAACGAACAAACAAACATAAAACAAAATACTTAAATAGAAACTAGATATTTAAATTGTAATAAATAAACAAATGCACCCATAAACACACAAAGAAAAATATTTAAACTGTAACAGTGTACCAACACAGCCTTATAGTGCCGTGCATCAGTTCATCAAAACAAGGATCCAGTCTCAAAGCGCAATCTCAAAATCAAGAGTAATCCCAGTGCACGAGTAAAAACGAGCGAATTTCGCGAGAAAAGAATCTAACAACTTAGTCTGAACGTTTTATGTTCTGCGATCCCAACACATGGCCATCGCGGGAGAGGAAGACCGAATACTACTTATATTGACACTCTTAAGAGGGATACTGGTGCATTTGAAGCAAGTGAGATTGCTACACTGATGGCTGATAAGAGGCTGTGGAAAGATCTAGTGGTTGCCCGCCTTCGGGCGAACAAGTGAGTGAGTGAGTGATCCCAACACCCCAACGGAGAGAGAGCGACATTTTTATCTGATTTCCCAGTCTCCATCGTTTCAATTTATCGCTTCAAAATTAAAATGATAAGTATAGTTTATCACGCGGACCCCTTTGCTGATACCCGGTTACGTAAGATAATCTACCAACATTCTCTTTATGTGATTGCTGCCCGTAATTAAGTTGACGCTAAAAAAGTGATTCGGCAGAAAGGCAACTTAAGGTTGCGTTCGTTTGGGATGATCCAAATCAGGATCAGTGATCCGAGATCACTCGGATCATGGTAGATCAAATTAACCGATGAATCCACTCTGGACGAGGATTCACCGGTTCATTTGATCTACCATGATCCGAATGATCTCGGATCACTGATTCTGATCCGGATCATCCAAAAGGAACGCAACCTTAATTGATGAACTTTATTTTGTACCTTCACACGTGAGACCTGTCCAGCCGGAAGTGCATGAACATGTGTAGTCGTCACCATCTATTTCACACACTCCACCATGATGACACGGATTAGGGTGACAGCTGTCCTTTTCTAAAGGGACATCAGAATAGGAGTCAGTGGATACATGGGTGGATCTAGGGGTTGGCTGAGTGGACCACGCTCTCACCAGAATTTAATGGCCCCCTTTTGAATTTTCTGTATCCGCCCCTGGGATAAGTTCGTTAGAGCAATTATGAAATGACTTTATGTGTCTTACCTGAATCACCTGGGTAACCTGAATACTGTGCTATTTATCGAGAACCTTGCAAGTCATGTGATCGGTCTAATCGCTTACTGATGGAAGCTTGTAACATTACTAAAAGTTCTGCAGTTTTAGTACCAAGCTATAGTCATAAGTGATAAGTCGTTGAAAACAGGTCGTATAATTATAAATTTGCCTCTAATAGGTCAGCGGAAAGCACTCCTCTACGAACTGCATAATATTTCACATCATAGTCAGCCTACTATCATTATTATTCACTATATTTTTTTGATTTATTTAACTGACCTGCGCAGTTGAGTCCCTTGAACCCTGGCGGGCAAGTACATGTGTACCCACCACTGTTTTCAAAACACGTGCCGCCATTTTGACATGGACCCGAATGACATTTTAGCTCCTCTGAAATTAATTGATACAAAAAATTTCAAATATCAACCAGTAGTTATACAACGTACTAAATTCTACACGCGGGGTGGTTTTTCATTCGTTCATGCTCATGATCTATTGGGCGTCACAGGAAACATAATTGTTTTTGCTTAGTCCTGTTCAAAATTGCGTGCAGGTTTGAAAATGTTTGGGAGATTACTTCGCATTGAGGAAGTATTTGAGGTGTGTGAAAAACTATTGAAACACTTGTCCTCGTGTTTGCTATAGCGTTTGTAAATGATTAAGAATTCTAGTAGATACTCAAAATAGAAATTAGCTCATGAATTTAATAGTGATGAGGATCTAATATGCAAAATATCTTTGGATTTGATCGTTTCTTTTTGTTGTTGAGAATGTGATTTTTACCTTCACAGTTAAATCCTCTGAATCCTTCTTGACATTGACATTTGTACGTTCCAGTGATCTCTTGGATGCAAGTTCCTCCATTTTGACATGGAAGCGAATGACATCTGTCTTGTTCTATTATAAGGTCAATGTTAGGCACGTAATCAGTTACGAAAATAACTTACTAAACTTGGTAGAAATTTATTATTTATCAAGTGAGTTGCTAAGCGTCAATAAAGTGAATCAATCAATCAATCAATCAATCAATCAATCAATCAATCAAGCAATCAATAAATCAATCGTTATCAGTCAGTGAAAGAACTAACTCAATTAACCAGCCATTCCTTTAGATAAAAAAGTATCTATCAATAATGTCGGTAAAAATTTTGTCAATCAACCAACATTGGAAGTTAAGAGGAAGACAAAGGTCATAACTTCATTTATTTTAAGAGAATAGTTGTGAAACACACCTTGGCAATTAATTCCCCGAAAGCCTTCCACACATAGACAACGGTATGAACTTGTCATGGTCGTACATGTTCCACCGTTTGTACAAGGGTTTGACTCACACATGTTTATCTCCTCTAAAATGAAAATTCGTGGAAATTCGTGAAATTAGAGCCATTAAAATTAAAATCAAAGCCAAAATTTAACGGATGTATAGGAGTGTAGCTACCAGTAGGCCAGTACGCATGTGCGTACCTGAGAAAAATTCGAAGGTAAATAAATAACGAACAAAAACAAGAACTGGAAAAGATAGGGGCAAAAAGGTAACTAAGGATAGCTGAAAAACGTCGTTCACATATAATTTCTTCATAAAAACAAATGCTGTTGCCTGAATGATGAGCACGGCCAGTGAGATCAAGAGAGATTTTTGCCTTAGTTTATTTTGATTAAAAAAAACGGAGATTTAAACAATTCAAAACGATTTAGGAGACGGGTTGGGGAATTGGAAAACTATTTGTACCTCCTTAAAATTTCTAGCCTTGAAGTTCCTGAAGTAATTGTTGTATAATTTTAGTAATTTCATCGATAAAGCATTGGCAAGATTTTCCTCGAATTGGTAGCCAAGGAAAACTGATAGACTGAACTTTTTTCTACTCTTATTTAACATCGGTCGGAGCTAACTTGCTTCTTCAGAGGACTTACTAGCAAGTTAAAACAAGTGGAGGTATAATAGACAAACCTTCACAATCTTTGCCTCTGTACCCATGTAAACATTCGCATTTGTAATCCTCGTCCTCTATCAGTTCTCGACATATTCCACTGTTCTGACACGGGTTAGGCTCGCATTTTTTCTCCACTTCATGGGCAAAAAAAAAAAAAAAAAAATCAAAATGGTTTCAGTTTTGGGTAGGAGCTATTGTTATTTTGTGGTGGTTAGCTTAAAAAAACCCGGAAATTTAAACAATTCAAAACGATTTAGGAGACGGGTTGGGGAATTGGAAAACTATTTGTACCTCCTTAAAATTTCTAGCCTTGAAGTTCTTGGAGTAATTGTTGTATAATTTTAGTAATTTCATCGATAAAGCATTTCTCAGTTTGTCCTTAATTTCGACCTTTATTTACTTTTGCAAAACACAAGTCTTTTTTTGTTTTAGTTTGCGACATAATATCATCCAGGGGAGACCCATGGAGGTTGCTATAGTCTAACTACGATGTAATAATATATCGTTTTTTGACAGTTTTCGGTTACAAAGCCGTTGTTCAGACAAAAGACTCGAATCCAAACTCAAACCAGCCCCAGTCCCTAATCAACAAGCTATAGTACTGTGTCTCGCAATGTTCTATCTTGATTTAATCCCACCAGTTTTCTTCGTAAGGCTAGCTCTCTTGATACTTACTTTCGCAATTCTTCCCTCTGAAGCCATGTGCACAAACACATTTATACATGTTTGGTCCTTGATTTAAGCAAGTACCACTATTGAGACAAGGGTTAGAGTCACAAACAGATACCATCGCTGTAACGAAAAAACAAGAAATGTGTGTAATTCTCTGCAGTCTATCCATTCTTAACTTTAAAAGAGAGTTTAGGCCTAGTCAAAAGTGTGTTCGGAAAATATGATTAATTGGCAGTAGCTGTCGCTAAGAAGAAAACGGAAAGAGATTTTTTCGGAATTGAGATCTTGTGGTATTGTGGCCTAAACTATAATCATGGCCACGTGACATCCCATGTGATGAAAATTATAACTGAAGGAATTAGTGAATTGGTGGTGAATTTACGTTGTATGGTTAAATAAATTATCTGAAAAGGACATAATTGCCTTAACATGGCTCTACCATTCAAATAATTTTTTTCGTCCCGATATGAAAGTGCGAGGCTGAATGAGAGGCGCTTTCTCCTGCACTGTTTGTGATTAACACGTAAAAGCGGCTTTTTCGGTACTTCTGTACGTGAAATAATAGTCATGGAGCAGAATATTTTGGTGGTACTTTTGTTCGGCTCTGCAAAGTGGTTCTAAATCTTCCCAGTGAGTTATATTGAGAGCATTCAATTGAAAGCTTCTGGTAAGTAAGCTATTTATCAACAATTTTCTTTGGCTCTGTTTCGCATGATTCAAGGTTGTTCATGCTTGATTCCAGCCATTGATATTGCGAATGAATGAAGAATGAAGTCGTCCGACTCTTATCAAGCAAAATCTCTCTTCTGTACTTACTTTCGCAATTGATTCCTGAGAACCCCGCCAAACAAGAACAGGTGTAGGAGTTGTGATTATCATAACAAGTTCCGCCATTTCTACAAGGATTGCTGCGGCATTTACTTTCAACTAAAAAAACAGAACAATAATTAACTGATATAAGAGATTTTCTGCATATTACATAATTGGCCTTTCGTCAGTTTCGTTAGGATGTGAAATTTATGCTCTAACTCAGAACAAAAACTGAGATACCCCAGATCCGTTTGTTCGACTTCTTACTCAAGCGAATGAGTTAATTTTCCCAGTCAGAGCACTTATAGCTGGAACAAGGCTCGAAAGCGACCACCCTTGGTAAGCGACGATGAAAAGCTTGGAATTTTGGGTCGCCTCTTACGGGGGGGCGCGACATTTCAGGAGAATGGTTACAACACAGCATTATGATCGTATACGATGACGAACAACGAGAACGAGATTTGACTGAAAGTTTATTTCCAGTGGTATTTTCACAATCAAAAAAATAGACATCACGAAAAGCTTCATTTTACTTATCTTTCAACAGAAACGTTAATATGGTTATTTCTATTGATCCACCATGATAAAAAACTTCCAACATTTGATAACTTGTTATCAATTTTTCCTACTAAAGTAATGCTGATTCAGGTGCGCGCACTAAATATTAGTATTACTAAGAAAATCCTCGTCTTAGAATCTAAAGGTCCCTCATAATGATACAAAATATGCTTACTCTCACAAGCAGCTCCACTAAAACCCTCAGCGCACAAACAACTGTGTGATCCAAGTAACTCCATACATGTTCCTCCATTAAGACAAGGGTTCATGAAGCAAAGGTTCTCCACTAAAAAAAAAAGTACAAATGAAGTAAATGAACACCTCAGGAACGATCGCTCACTACCAGTGATGTACGAGTTTCAACCAAGTATTTTGCATTTCTTAATAAATTTTTATAGCTCTTTGGACCTCTTCTATAAAGGACGTTACAAGTCCGTGATTGAAGTCCCACAATGCGACA